TAAAACAATTCTGAGAAAGATGTTATTTAATATCAACCATGAAAAGTACGGTTTATCAAGCAGCATTTCAATTATATTTAAAAAGAAAAATCAAATTTGTTTGTACCTTGAAAGTAAACTAAAACTTTCATAATCAGTACAATCAATGTACGATTACTTTTTCAGTTTTAATTTTTATTAGGATTTACAGTACTAGTTCAATCATAACAATTCTACGTAACATTAACAATATAATAGTATAAGAATGATTGAAATTTCATGAAAACTTTCAGTGAATTTCTACTATACACAGTTGTTTGACTTGCCCTTTCCATATTTCCCTTTTTTTTAACTTCCCAAATGAATTGTTACGATCTTCAGGTTATTCAATTATGGCAAAGCACACGAGGGCTATCTGCCTAAAGGGAGGGATGCCTTCGTGGAGGACTTTCTAAGGGAAGCTTGCTCGTATACACGTTACACATGGGGAAAACCACGAAAACACCCATGCAGCCAGCCCGTTCGCGGAATTCGAACCTCGGACCGAACTACCAGTGTTCAGCGACTTTACCGCTCGGCCGCTGGTGGGCCTACGATCTTCAGGATTTACAGAAAATAAAATACCTGGAGGGGGAATGCATTGTACTTAGACGCTGAAAGAAAACGCTTCAATTTACACTAAAATACAACAGATAAAAAGAAAAGCGTTTATTAATCCGTAAATCAACTTACAAAGTTCAGTGCGTTACAGAATTCACTTCTTCTGTGATACTCTACACAGGTTAAAATTTTAATATTTTTACACTGACAAACACATGGGTAGGGATATTCTTTAACAGTGCGCATTCGACTCGCTAACAGTCAAAAGGCTAAATTTCAAGCAGGTCCGATAAATAACGTCCAATTAGTTCATACCTTCTACACAGTTTTTACAAGTTTTATACAGGGTAAATATATCTATTATAACCATCGACATCTTTATGCCTCTCACTTCTTTAATTCCTTTTTTTTTTTTAATTTGCCGATGTGTTCGATGCGATTTATAGCAGCAAAATAGATCACAGTAAGATTTACGACAGTATTTTATGTATTATGAACACCTACTAAGAACTCATCTTTACTTCATATGCAAACATCCATGAGCAGATAAATTTACTTACCACAGTGAATGTATCTTTCTCATCCAGGCTAATTTATCGGTTAAAAATTATTAAGGAATTGGAAACCTTTAACTGGAACAGCAAAAAATTTGCATATAATGGTTAGGATTGGATCCAACAGATTTACGAAATAAAATTGCAATATACTACCATTGAAATAAAATTTTAAATATTCTACCATCCAAATGCTAAGGAACAAATAGGTTTTGATTTATAGCTAGTAAAAAAAAATTAGCAGTTGTGTTGATAAGAGAAAAGTTAATTTTTACAAGGTAGACGTAAATGTTTGTGTTTTTTTTTTTTTTTTTTTTTAATTCCCATTTAAAGAAGCTCTCACAGAGAAGAAATGAAGCTACTCACGGACCGGAAAAGCCTGTGTTAGTGCAAGTCACACTGTAAATTGTAACCACTGGCCTGCACTAAAGTGGGCTGTCAGCAGCCGCATCAAATTATCGAATATGTCAAGCATTTGAGGAGGATGCCTTGAACGAACACACCGCCGAACAATAGTTCTAGAAGTTTAGGTCGGGAGATCACAGCCTTTCTGATGAACCCCGCAGTGGGTGACCACAGATGATAGATAACGAAGACCTAATGGAACCATACAGGAGGATAGGAGGACCATGCAGGAGGAGTTAAATATGTTGTGAACTAGCGGAATGCTCCCAGGTTTTTCAGGAAACAAACTTCACATGCGCAGAATAATGAAGTTATAAGCGATAAGCAACAGAGGACGTGGACACTGTCCCTTTACCAAAAGGTTAATCGGTATAGCACCATGTCCACCTATATCTAGAGCCTAAAGAGGAATCACAAGACGCCACGCGCCGGGCGTCCAAACCCAGAGCCAAATTCAACCCGGGGGCAGTCCAACAGACCAAATGCCACGAAAGACAGTCCCAACAACCGCCCAGGCCCCACATTTATTAAATAAAATAACAAAAGCATGCAGGGCCAAAAAGGGCGAGTTTGGACAATAAGCAAAAATTTACAAAGGTGTAATACACACAATATAGAATATACATAAGCTAAAGTACAGTCTGATGTTGGGCAGCCCAATAATATACAATGAATAAAATATAGACAGAATTAGCTTGACAATTAATTAAAATAAAAACAAAATGAGAACATAGTGAAATAATGAAGTAAATGATTACAGCAATACACAGAGGATATACCAAAAGAAATAAAATAAAAGAATACAATGTAACAGAATGCATAGCGGTACAATACACTTGATCACGTGGTATTGTGGGAAAACATGCAATAAGGCTAATTATACGATTATGAGGAATAAAAATAAAACATATTTAGCTGCCATAAAAGTTAACGAATATAAGATACTATACAATACTATACAATATTACAATACAATACAATACAAAAAAAAATTAACATATTTAACCTGTACTAAAATAATGAAGTTATACAGGATGAGCAAGTGGTCACACCAAATACTATCAGCAGCCAATAATAAACAACGAGTGACAGCCTGTTTGTCGTTGCTGTCTCGGCACTACAATATACCCATATTTAGTCAAGCACTCAACAGTGGCAAACCCAAGAGTACAAGATACTAGTTCTCAGTACGTGATCCTGTGCCTCACACCTTAGAACATGCAAGATCATAGTTTGAGTCTGGACTGGTCGCCAAGTGATGCATTACAAATACCATCATTACCGAGGGCCTGTACTCACAGCTGTTGCAGCAACGAATGCAACATGCACTGCAGCATGAAGCAGGTTAGGTTAACTCGCAAGGGAGTGCTGTACCTTCAACAATGCAAGACCAAACGTGATAAAGACGATCAGGGCTATTGTTCAACGACTTATTTTTAGCTGGCAGATCCAGTGCCATACACTGTATTCGCAGGACCTACCACCCACAAAGTACAATTGTTCCGTTCCACGGACAACCACCTACCTCCATAGGAAATCTTTCGACAATCAGCCTGCCATGCAGCACGCACTCACGCATTTCTAAGAGTCTGAGACCCAGTTTCTCTAATGAGTTTCCTCGCTAGAACATTGCACAGATGCAGGACGTTCGCTAAGGATGCTGGATGTTGATGGAAACCAAATGCCGGGTACTACGCGCTGTGTCTCTTTCTGACGATCACGAACGGCAAGAATGTTTTGGTTACCTTGAAATATTCAACTGCTGTTTATTCAACAGTTAATCTGCCGCAGCTATATTTTTGCAACTGCTAACTGCTATATTTCTGCAGTGCTTCGGCACTCCAAAAATACAAGGCGTTATTTTGCAAAAATTACATGACTTATGACAAAAAAAAGAGCTGTTTGTAAAAACTGAAAAATACACCTACCTTGCAAGACTGGTACTACCCTTCCGTGTTTTCAACAAATTATTAGGCAATTCCATGTGAAAGTAAAGTTCATGCATGTCTAATTCCTTTTAAAATTCATTCAGTGATTTAGTTTAGATTAGTGAATATAGCAAAGCACACAGGCGATACCTAAGGGAAGGGATGCCTTCGTGGCCAGCGATATTGGAGGAGGATGTCGTCTCGTAAACGCTCAATCGGATTAAAAATCCGATAACTGAGCTGGTCATTGCACACGCTGAATTCCATGATGTTGACCACACAGATGTATGTGTCAAGGCCTTCTCCGCCGTACATCATGTATGGTGCAGCAAGCGACCTCAAATCCTGTTCAAAGACTTTGCCTCATTACCCAAGAATATTCATCGATTCACCCACGAACACCAGAAACGCCCAGAACCCTACATCCTCCTGTAAGCAACCTTTTAGAATGATTAACTAGTTGCCTTATGTTACTTCTACTTCATAGATCATTTACTTAAGTCACAGTTTATACCATACCTGGGATTCATACATTAACATTATGAAGTCCCTGTAGTCTGCTCCACGAGACATGTCTTACCCAATGCAATCGAGATAGCCTATGTAAATAAGTCAATGGAATATAAAAGCCTTCAGGCAATTTAGCTTCATAAATAACATATAAAACAATCACTATATTCGCAGAAACTTTATCAATAACATATAAAAGCCTTCAGACAAATTAGCTTTGTACATGAATAGCTTCTCAAATCTCTGAAGTAGATATTCGTCTTCCTACAGGCACAATAGAAAAGGGGGATACGTACCAGTCTGAGACTCAATTGAAGTTCCGGCCAATAAACAAGACTGAAAGCGATCATCAGGACCAACAAGAAACAGTTCTTGTTTCAGGAGATTGTCTAAAGAACTGACTCGACAGCCACCACAATGATTTTCATCTGTCCAATGCTGCCTTTTTAGCCGTGACAACATTTCCACCTATTCAGCTGCTCGTCACTTAAGTGAATCAGGCCAGCATCGCGTGCAATATTTTGGACATAAAGTTCTAATATCTGCTGCGTTCAGAAATTAACACGTTTATGCACATGATCAATTTCGGGGCTCCACTGCTACGAATGCCAAAAATTGGTAAAAAATTATTGGTATCCTGAAACTTTATATAAATGAGTTTCTTAATTTGCATTACTCTTACCGCTTTCCTTTACAGTAGAAAAACTGTTCGGTCCTGAACTTTTAGAAGGCAGTGTATGTGATCAGAGCATAACAACGATTCGCAGTTTTAGTCTACGATAAAATGTGTTCATTACGTCCACTGAAAATAATGAAGGTATTATATGAAGCAACACATAACGCTACCATTTCAATAAGGAAAACTTGCCATCAGAGAAACACCCGAGGTTCGGATCTCTAAAGCCCATTATATACCAGTTAAAGGTTGACATCTAACAGTTACTTTTAAAACTATATAAACATGCTCATGCAGGAAAATAAACACCTTTTCAGAGGCCATTTTATTCATATAACAAACACTTACCTGGTAAAAATGAACGGCGATCTTAATGTCCTGTAGGATTTTGACCAACTAGAAGGAAAGAAAAGAAACTTTTTTGAATTTAAGAAAGATAACTAACCTTATTACAATAAACTTTTAAAATACTTATTTTGGTTACAAAAATTTTTAATGAATGTAAATAGTTCTTAAAATAAATTTATATGGCAGCAAGTTTGCAAACAAAAGAAAAAAAAAGGCAATAACATATTTACAGCACCATACCTCTTAACAAATCCCCACACATGGATTACCATCAACGATACAAAAAAGTTACAACATTCAAGTAGAAAACATTATTAATGCTCAATAGCATTGATGCTTATTTTCCCTTTAAACGAGATAGTCTTCTTCAATGACAATTGCATTAGTTCCATAAAAAATTAATGATATAAACTCACATAATAAAGAGCATGGTGATCTATTACGCCAGTTACGCTTCACCAGATGATGCATTGCGAAGAGCACACATAGTTTATTAAGGCAGTGGAAGACCAGACATCCACTTCGGCACGACCAGACGGCATCCGTGACCAGCATCCCTTTGGAGAGCCTTTCTCTATCTCTCCATGTTCTAATAGGCATTCAGTTCGCTAGACCTGGATTCCTCCAAAATAATGAGCCCATTAAATATCTCGATCTGAAATTTGGTTCTCGTTTAGAACCAGACTTAGGCATTTCATCCAATCTGTCATACGAAATTGCTCAGAAAACAATCACCAACAGGAATGCCTTCCATAAAAGTAGAAAGTAGTCGTAAAATTCTTAATACAGCTACTGTTTAATGAAATGGTAAAAGAAATTTCGTTCAGAACATCACTTTAAAGGCATATTTCAGTAATTTAGATACTCTTCATGCTCATTTAAAGGAAAATTCTACTTTTTAAAACTAGAACATGAAATTAGGGAGGTGTTATTACAATGTTGAACGTCTGTAAAATAATTACGCAGTTAAACGTAATTCGTAATAATAACAAGAATTTACGCAAAATCTAGATAAATATTTAAAGAAGATTGGGATTAAAATCGTTTGATGATAGTCTCGTAAATTTCAAACGTTTATTTGTTTTCATATAAACTACCAAAAAAATTCAATACATTGTAGAGATATTAGGGATTTTTGAAGCTGGAGAAATGAAATATGATCGCCGGAACTCGAAGCACAGACCTCTCGAACACGCGTCGAGCGTGTTGACCATTACACCACGAAGGCATGTTTAGAAGGCGGGAGAAATAACTTATAACATAATATACGTAATTAAAGGTGAGTCCCAAAATTATTTGGTCAGTTTGAAATTACGTCCTCGATATTTAGCGTCAATTAAAATCTAAAATTTAATATACAAGAAGAAAATGCTGGAAAACTTTGAAAATGAAAGTACATGAAAATTCCATTGGTGTAATGGCAGTTCCTCACGGAAATAGTTATAATTACTTAAACGCAGTGAAAGGAGCATGGGTTGAGTATAAGAGGCAAAAATGGTTTGAAAAAAAATTTTTTTAAGAATGCAAGATTATTAATTCATCGGATTTCATATCATCAGTTAACTACTAACTACACATATGGAACACTAAGTCAATAGATAATGAAATAATATTCTAAAATCTCCTTGATTTCAATGCCTGAAAGCTTCTAGGAGCGGGTTTAGGTATGGAAAAGAAAGAACTCGGAGAACTTCCTACAGAATTAAAAAAATGGAGTTATAATACATCTGTTTTAAAACAAGCACGTTTATTTAAGGAGGGAATGAACAATTCTTCGTTTATCTCTCTTTTAAGTAGACATACGCGTAATATTCAATTCAGCAGAAATTTTATATGAGGTATTCAATACCATGAAGTTACAGAAGTCTTAGGGATCTGGTATCCCAAACACACAGGCCCTTCAGCTATAATAAATTAAGGCCCCGCCTCTGGCTGAGTGGTTAAGACAGCTGCTGATAATTCGAATTGGATTCGAATGCACCTATCCAGCTGCTGAATGCATGGTTGACTGCATGGTTGATTTTTCCCTAAACGTAACCTGAGTATTAGCCAGTTTTCCTTAGAAAGTCCTATACGAACGCGTCCCTCCCCTTTACGCAAATAACCCTCATGTGCTTTGCCATTTCAAATAACCTAGACTATTAATAAATCAATTCCGCAACTCTTCTTCACCTCAGATGGTATTTAATAGTATTGCAATAAAAAGACTCTTCCAAGATTTTATTTAGATTTATTTGATTAAGGCAAAGCGCGCAAGAGCTATCAGCCTAAAGAGAGGGATGCCTTCGCGGAGGACTTTTTAAGTCTTCTAAGCGAAAAAACCCTTTCTGTATAGAACACTGACCCTCACCCCCGAAAAAAAGACTTGTACTGAAATATTTTACCGGTAGGTACCGGTAAAAACTGCATTAGGAGAGATACATTAGAAATTTGTATTAGGAGAAATGCGTTTGTAAAGGATCTTCAAAGAGCAGTCGTCTTGTATGTACACTCGGCGCACACTCGCAAAAAAAAAAAAAAAAAAAAAAAAAAAACTTCTATAGCTCGCGGTCCGGTTGACGAAAGTTAACTTGGAAAAAAATAGGTGTGCCAGTCTGATTTTGTGTCAGAATAACTAAGCTACATCAACGCTATATATAAATCTAATACATATTCCAAGTCGCGCTTTAGAGACATGAAAAACTCAAGTTAAATTTCGTCAATCGGCTCAGCAGGACGGGAGGTAACAGAACCCCCGCCCCTTTTTTTGTGCACGGTGTACACATAATCGTTAGGTTCTTTGCAAAATGGCAAAGCTCTCAAAGGCTACTTGCCCAAGATGAGCGATGCCTTCTCTGACGTCTTAAGGGAAAAACGGGTCGTATTTACCTTACCTATAAAGGAAAACATCCATGCAGCCAGCCCGTTCACTAGAATTTGAAACTCTGGCCCTAATATCAAAGTTCCAGCGGTCTTAACTGCTGGGTAGCTGAAGAGCTCATCACACACTGAAAAAATATTACCCCCCAAAAAAATACCTCATGCACAAAACGATACCCTTTACCCCCTTTTTTTTTCATAACTTATCACAAAATTCGCATTTTATTTCAGAAAAGGATTCTCGGTAAACCAAGTTTTGGATTAATTTTATTTTTTTCTTTTACTCCCACACTAAAGCTAATTGTATTGGGATGTACAGTTATCAATAGGCAAAGAGACAACACCTCTTCTTAATTATTCATCTGATGTTCGGAACAAACTATCTCGGTGAAACATGGACATCTGGAGAAAGAACTACGAGAAAAAAAGATTCATACAGTACAGAAACGAGGCTATGGGAGCACGAAGGTCTTGTGGACGGCAATTATAGAGCAGATGGGTGCAATATTCTAACCATCAGCTTTCGAATAACTGTGTTATTAAAACACGGTTATAATTTCAAACTAATAGCTCAATTAATCGGAAAACTTCAATAGTGTCATTTTTAATACATAACCTTGCGGCCTTATGCAAGAAAGGAGTGACATTCATGCCATAAATCATAATATATATCGAATATTTCATATGCTCCAATAGAAAAATAACATCAAATATATCTTAACAAGTAACTATACAGAAAAATAGATATTCACTAGAATAATACATGTTGAGAAAATTGTACTTCTAATAAAACTAAATAGAAGGGAGACAATTTTCAAAATATGCGAAGAAAATAAAATCCGCATCCGTAGCGGAGGATAAAATGCCACAAAACAAGAAAAAAAAAAAAAAAAAAAAAATGAAACTTTACAGAACAAGGATTACAAAGGGGTGGGGCGGTTGAGTGTACGGGAAAGCGAATTATTTAACTTATTCAGCTTCCAGTGTTTCGACATGAAGCAGCTTTTCTTAAATATGAAGAATCATCATAACTTGTTTTCTTCTAGCTGTGGGATAATAATGCTTTGAAAATTTTATGAATATTCTGAACATAAATAAATCGAGATATCTGTTCATATTTATGATACGTTCTCCGGATTAACTGGCACGACAGCACATCTATAACACCAGAAAATCTAAATTATCCTCCCTAAAAATATCTATATTAAAATCCTCTGTATTTGAGCCAAAAACATATTTAATTAAATAAATAAAAACTATTACATTTTAAGGCCAAGAAAATATTCACCTCAAAAAAGAAAAATTACAAATACTTACCAAAGGAAAAATACAGACTAAAACAGTGTTGTGCTCTGCTAAGCTCTGGCTAAGCTGTTTGACGTCTAGGGTGGTAGAGTTAGATACAGTTTATAAGTGGTCTTTTATCAGTGTGTATAAGCTATGTATTTGCTAAACGAGATCTGATTAACTTTTTATTGTTACCTTCATATTTCCTAAGGACATATGATTTTATGTTACTGAATTAAAGGAAATTAATGTATTATGACATGCTTATTGACTTGCGGTAAATTAAATTTTACCGTAAGCCAAAAGATATGTACACAATCATCTACTGAATAACGAACGAATAAGAAAACTGAAAACAAATCAATAGTTGGTTTAGTTGCATAATACTACTGGCAAATAAAGAAAGCCTATTGTTTTGCCGTTACTCTTGGAAGGCATCCAAAACACCAATTAGCGTAACCAAAGCTAACAGTTTATCTATAACTAGAAAGCCCGGCGGTCATACGAAATGACCGCTGTTCTAGATATTATAAATTGATGATTCTAAACAGATGATTGCTAATGCAAACAAATGTTCAAGTTTCCTCCGACACGCTCAATTTGCGTTCAGCTGAAAATTTTAGTTTAAAATACAACGTCGGAATAAAATCGGGCAACGCTCTTTACGCGAATATTTTTGGCTAAACCTACCTGATGAGATGTACTACGCACAACTCGTTAGTTGGTTTCGTCTCCTTTAATTTCTCAACGTTTGCAAGTTTCTAGGTAATTCATATGTAAATATAGTTAAATGCATAATAAGCAACAATTGTATGAATTAAAAATATTTAAATGTTCTTAAATACCATGATAATTTAATTAAAAATAATGATAACTGCATGTATAGTATCAGTGTATATGGA